GCTTGTGTCGCTTAAGTTTCGTCGGTACGAAGTTACGGAAAATCAATTAAAAAACGGAGACGTAACAATATATATGATATATATAACTTAAGTTCTCTATATTGAGCAAATTCAGCTTTTTTTGGAGGGGTCTCAAAACATAAGAATAATAATCATGTAATTTTCAAGCCACCATGGAGTAGCTGTTGCCTGTTTTGTTTGGTTACCACTTCATGCATGTTGACTAGTTGGAGAAAAAAAATCTTTACAATAAAAATGTCCATAATGAAGAGAGTATATATGTTAACATGTTGTAAGCACTATTAAATTAAACAAACCTTTTATGTAACCATTTGTTGTGGTGATGGTAATGAAGGCTACGTTCTCTCTGATTTTGTTTCATAAAAACAAAGCTAGGGTACATTTAGGAATAATTATTTCAAACATATTAGCTCACACAACCAATCAAGAACTATAAATATGACTTACATCGGCTTTCATTGATAAGGTAAGTCATCCAAAAGAACTTTATAACAGATAAAGATAGTGAATAAAGCAAAATTACAAAAAATGTAGGAATTTTTCTTACAACAAACAGTTTTGATGTTCTTTTAAAGTGATATATAGCTAACTTCTACAAAAAAACATCAATTTTTAGCTTTGAGGTAGAGTGAACAGCTTGAAAACATTTATCTAATAATAAATAAGTTTTGGACATTACAAATATAAGGATAGGTTTCACTTCACTAAAAAAATTAAAAATACAAATAAACTGTTAACACTTGCAGAAAATTATAAAACATGTAATGTGAAAGATTAACTTGGATTATCCACTCATTCAAAATATCTGTTGTTGTCATTTAAATAAAGATTAATGTAGTTTTTTTCCTGCTTTCAAAAACACTTCCATATTGGATAAATTGTAAAAATTAATTTTTGGTCGTTTATTATAATAAATTTATAATCAATTGTTAAAATATTAACCAAACACTTGGTTGAAGCCAGAAAATGACTAATCCTTGGTATAATATGCAATGGTTTCCCTAAAGAACACATAAATTTAATACTGTGATTGACTTTATAGTGGAAATATATTTTTACGCAACTAAAACATTAATGTTTCATCCTATAGAAGAGGACCACCTTCATGCTATATATGATTAAAAACAATGACAAATTTAAAAGTTATTTTAAACCTTTTCCAATGGGCTGAAACATTGCAGTTTTAACAGCTTAAAAAAAAAAACATTTCCAGTGTAAAAACTGTTAAAAATATTAAATTTAATTACCCAAAAGGATCCTCATCTCCTCATAAACACATTTTTACATTTCTGTTACAACATACCTTAGCAAGACCATCTTCTACGACACTCCTCTTCAAAATGAAAAATATAAGGTAGCCTATGCCTCCAATGACTGCCATGATAAAGATATTAATACCCAAGAAGGAAAGAAGTTTCACAAGTTTTGTAGAACAAGTGTCCGTTGTCTCTTCATGCGAGTGGGCTGATAAGAGTTCCTATACAATGACAGAGGAATCACAAAAAATTATACAGATGATTTCTACTTAAACTTGATTATCCTGTCATGTAACGGTAGATCGTAATAAATATTACATTCACTAATTTAAGATAACTGACTTATAAAAAAAAACGCAAAATGATTTTAAGTTCCTAGTTACGTTTCAGAGAAATATGAAATTCTATAATGATACTTTATTAACACAGTTTTTTTACTCAATTCTGTAAAAGATGGTGAAGTACCAATTCATTTTGATCTTCCCTTTTTACAGTATGTTATGGCTAAACCAGCATGCTTTACTCAAGTATCAACATTACCTGTAGTTCATTATAAATACTGTGAGACTTCAACTTGGCTGCTTTTTGAGTTTCTATCGAATAATCCCACGCAGAGAAGATTTTTGTCGAGAAGACGTTTTTAAGTTCTCCCGATGCTGTCAGATAGTTCTTTTTGTAAGATCTAGCCAGGCTAGAAAGAAAATGGTATTATTAATCAAGCAAATAGTCCCAATTCGGTGTTTTCTCAGGCTGCATAATCTTAGATAGGTACTTTATGTAATATTAGAAAAGAAATATGAAATGTTGAGAGGGCAGTACATTATTTCTCAAACAATTTTAATCAGGAAAAATTTAGTAGTTAGACTAAATATAATTTTTGTGTAGACTTATCTTTTGCGATTTTTAGCAAACTATAAAAATAACAAAAAAGCAACTATTAAAAAAATAAGATCTTGTGATTATTGTTTTTATAAATAAGAGAATAAGATACATACCTAAAAGTAAGGACAACTATACAGATAATAAAATAAGCACAATTCACAAGTAAGTAGGCCTGAGGAATGCTGTAGCTTCCAGATATAGGATTATTATTATCATGCCTTCCTCCAACAGTTTCATTGGTGTAGAACCCATAATACATATAGGAATCGGTAAAATAGCCCTGGAATTAAGATAACATGCAAAAGAATAAGATCTTATGTACAGAAACAAAACAAAAAATACAAAAAATTCACCTCACAAAATCAGTATTGATAATTAGATAAATATGAATATAAATGTTGAGAATACAAAGTTTGCCATTAATAACCTTTTTTCGTAACCAGTTACAAATACTGATCTGTGAAAATAAAATATGATATCAGTTTAAGTATTCCTTTTAGGTGTATGTAATTTTTTACAAACAGTGAAAGACTTGTTTGATAGATTGTTTCGACAGAGTATTCGTGATGAATACTAGCTAGCGTAAAAACATAAGTATAGAGATGGATGTTTCGAAAATGTCTTCCACTTTTCATCTTCAGGTCCTGAAATGAAAGGCAGAAGACTTACGAAATGCCGTCCTCTATACTTGTGTTTCTACAACAGGCAGTTGCCATCCATTCAAACTAAGTTTCACCAGTAAAAGATTTCTGTTCTAGTAATTTCATACTATTTATCACCAGCAAAACTTACAGCTCCAGTTAATAGCTCCAGGCCCGTAAATAAAACATCTTCACTCTGTTCAACACCTAGTTGACTGTCCTGAGATTTGACCCAGATGATCTGTGGAAGAATGATGAATGCCAAAAGTACAAGAAAAAGACCACAGTTTAGGAAGAGGAGCCAGCGTAGGAAAAAAAGTAAGATGCAACACTTGACCCAAAATGACCTTGTATCATCTTCAAATGGGAATGCCACAAATCAAAGGATGAAAACAGTTCTTTTGTATTATATTTTAGCTGATCGCACCACTAAAAAAAAGGAAAGAAAACACAAAACCATTGTAAGATTATTATAGCAACGTAATCTACTCAGAATTCAACTGCTTTCCTCAAAAGTTATTTTTACAGATATCTTTCACATTCAATTACGTGTGGATACGATATTAAAAAATAATACTTCTAATAAAACTGCATAAAAAATGTATGGGTCAAATAATGCACAGCCTAATTACGTCAGATTTGCATAACTTTTCTACCCTTTACATAATGAACAAAATGTTTTAACCTAACA